CCTAGGAGGTAAGCGGGGTGTCGCGAACATCGTCGCATCCGCTTTTGCCAACGCCAAGATAGCATCTGCGAGAACGTCCGGGTCTGGGACCTGCTCTGCAGCCCGCGCGGCAGCACGCAGCTTCAAGGCAGCCCTGGCTGATACTGCGCCGGAGTGCCCACGAACAGGTGGACGCGCAACCGCCGGAGCCGAACATGAAGACGAACTGACCACTGGCCCTCGCGGAAACTCCTGTTCGCTCTCGCCGGCTCCCGCTTCACCTGAGCGTACTGGGGTCTTAGCGGAATGTTGCTTGCACAGCGCCAGAAAAAGCTCCACGAATTGAATGGGCTGAGGCGCTAGCGCTTCCCAGGGGTCCTGCGCTTCCGGCGCCGAGGTGCCAGTGAAATCAGAAGGAAAACAGCCACCGTCTATCTTTAGCTGTTCTGCGATTCGCGAAAATGCGAGCTCCAATTGCAAGATGCCTCCTGCGCGCTGTAGAAGCGCTCCCACTTCTGACGTTTCCCCAACATCTGCCTGTCCAGGCTCAGCACCTGACGCACCAGCGTTGCCCGTGGCACGAGACCCCCGACGAGGGCGCGCATCTCGCGAGTCAGTGCTGTCATCTGCTGCCCGCGCCCGGCTCTGCTCAATGAATTTCAGCATTTGAGCCAGGCTGGCTACGGAACACCTGGAACGCGCAAATGAAATCCAACGCAGCTGCCTCGGGAAGTCTGGGGCGCATTGCATCTCCGAGGGCCGCGATGGCAGCTCTCCTGTGGCCTTCGCGCTTCTTGTGTCCTCTCAAGGGCCCCGGGGGCCAAGAATCCGGTGGCCCGGGCGCGGTTTCCCAGGGATCCGTGTTTCTGGGCACATTTGCCCAGGTCCTGGTGAATTGGTGGGCCCATTGGGGTCGGCCTAGAACCGCTTCACATTTCCTTTTGCTATTTTCCTCCAGCGCTCACTCTCCCGACCAAGGCAGGCCGAATGGCCAAAGCCACTCAATCTCATTGAAACCTCTTGCTTGAAATTCAGCTACGGCACTGTCCCAGCTCTCGTGTCTCGTGGGACCGTCAGCAATATTCAAGCGACTGGGCACCCGGAACGCATGCAACGCAATGGCGCGCTTCGCAATTTGAAACCAGAAATCCGTGATCACCTCATTGAGATCGCTTTGCCTACTTGCGCCGCGCACGAGCGCTTGCAGGGCCGGATTGCAATCGACAAACAAAATAATCTCGCACTCTTCGAGACCATGCTCGATTAAACTTCTGACAGCGCAAACTGCCGCCACTAACTCCCAGAGCGCAATCTGCGTGCGCCTGGGATGTGCCCAAGCCCGCGCTTCTCGAGGGACCCAGGCCGCGCTCCAGAATCGAAAACGCGGGTGCACGACAGCAAATGCTATTGCGCCGTCGCGCGCGGCATCTGTATAAACAACGCAGCGCTGCAGCACCTTAGGGGCTAGAGGAATGCTTTTCTGAGGCACTTCCCGTAAAAAGCGATCCCACCAACGCAACGCCGTCCGGGCGCGCGTGGTCAAGGAGCCAGTGCGGCGATGCGCTTGCCAATGCAATGCTGCCAAATACGCACGAGCGCCCTTGCCAAACACAGCGCTCCCTGCCCAAGTCAGCCGGCCAGCCAGTCTGCGAGCTTCAGCTGGCCGTAAATAATCGTGCTGGAGCGCAACCTGCACTGTGGTCAGCCATTTTTCACGCTTGGCACAACCCATCTCGAAAACCAATTCGCCCGGGCGCGAAGAACATTCGACACCGAGCATGGTGGCTTCGTTGGCACACCTCACCCGCTTAGCTGGCTCAAGCTCCCAGCTGGTCAATTCGAGAAGCTCCTGGGCGCGTGCCCCTGCGTCCTGCGCTGCTGCGTCGGCACGCGCGCCAGCGCGCGCACAGTCGACAGAAAATAAATCGTCGACAAAACGAGGGTAAGCGACCAACAACTCTCGCGCCAGAAGCGCTTGGAAGAAGGATCCAAGCCGGTGCCAGCTGTACACAGACGCGCACGAACCGAAAGGACAGCAAATCAATTGCAATCCTCTGCCCTGCTCCGCGGCGCTCTGCCACGAGACCACAGCAAAGTCCAAGTGGCCACTACGCAGCGGCAAAGACTTAAACGCTCCCTTAAAGTCTTCTTTCCTAAAAAGGAGCTCGCATTCGCCTGCGCTGTTGCCGGCGAGCGCGCGGGCAATCTGAACAAGCGTGTCCAGCGTGTCCACTGGCATGGGCTCGCCCAGCGACGTAGCGGCATTGACAAAAGAAGCGGAAAAGTCATCAATCAAGCGGACTTTTGGAACCCGCGTTCCGCCGCCGCTGTCCCTCCACCCCTCGAAAGCGGGGAAACGGGCTGAGATGATAGATGACTGCAAATCCAGCTTGGTCCACCAAGCTTTCTTGTCAGCTACTTCCTGCACGCACTTCGATTCGAAAGCTTCGCGAATTTCGCGTTCCACGTGCACTGGCTGACGAATGCGCTGGAGCGTAGCCGCATTGTATTGCAGAGCGTTCGCGAGCAGCGTCTCTTCGGAATGCTGCATCGCGCGGTACGGAAGTGCTGGCAAAATGCCAGCTCTAGGAACTGTTCCCAGCAGCGGAAAGCCGAAAGAGAGGTCGTGGACGAGTTCATCGTCAGGCCACTGTATGGCCTGCACCATTTCCGCTAAGAGAAAAAGATTTTTATTAGGCCCAAGTACGTATTGGCAGTGAACTGGCAGCCGGGAAAATTCCTCTCTCCAAGAGGGTTCCAAAACGCGTTTGCGTTCGGTCCAGTGCCGAATCCTCTCTGCCCGACGCGCCTCGAGCTCGGAATCCGTGCAGGACTCCGCCCCTCGCAGAGCCTCAACTATTATTGCTGGCGCTGCAATGGGCTCTTCGCTGGAAGGTAGGGAGAGGGACCACTCGAGATGAGTCCATGGGCTCATGGACCCAAGCAAAACTGAGTTGGCCAGAAGATCGTTCACAGCAGCGCTCAAAGCGGCAAATCCGCCAAGCAGCTGCTGCTGATGACCCTCGCTCTCCTCAGAAATCCTAGAACAGGTACTGCCAGCCCCAGACTCTGAGCCAGCACTCGAAGCCTGGCTTCACCGATCAGCCCATTTCTTGCCATGCCAGCCGCCGCTCTTGTCCCAGCTGCTTTTCATAGCCCGCAAACCGCGTAGCGGTTTGCGGGGCAGGAAAATCGCGGGGCAGGCCTTCCTGGGGCCTCTTGGCTTCTCCGCTTCCTGGCACCACAGAGGAATTCTCACGGCTTGGGCGCTGCTGGACGGCAGGCGGTTATCCTTTCCTCGTCCTTGGCTGGGGCATTCTCACGGCCTGGGTGCTGCTGGGCGGCAGGTGGTCCTCTCCTCGTCGTCCTCGCTGCTCGGATGCCTGGGGGTTGGTTGTTGGTTGGCGGCCTCTCGGCCATGCTCCTGGGTGCTTGGCGTAGCGCCGGGTGGCGCTCAGCTTGCTCGGCCGCTTGGCGGACGTGCCGTGGTGAGGCGTGTCCGAGGCGCCTGCGAAGCTTCTGCGAAACTTCTGCGCAGGGCTGCCTGGGAAGCGGCATTTCCCTCAGCCCGGATGGGCTTGCCCCGTGGCCGCGCGGCCCAGCCACATTTCCCTCAGCCCGGATGGGCTTGCCCCGTGGCCGGACGGCCCAGTGGCATCTCCCGATGGCCGGACGGCTCGGCGGCGTTTCCCTCAGCCCGGTGGGCTTGCCCCGGGGCCGGGAGCTCAGTGGCGTTTCCCTCAGCCTGAAGGGGCTGGCCCACCAGCGGGCGGTGTGGCCCGGATGGGCTGGTCCCGTACGGCCTTGCGGCGTTTCCCTTAGCCCGGTTGGGCTTGCCCGTGGCCGGAGGCTGGTGCCAATTCCCTCAGCCCAAACGGGTTTTGTTGTGGCCGGATGGCGCAACCGCTCTTTCCTCAGCCTGCGCAGGCTGGTATCGCGGTCACGCGGGTCAGCGGCCTTCCTCTCAGTCGGTAGTGGCTAGCCCTGCGCCGGGCGCCGCTGCGCTCGGACGGGAGCGCTTTCCCCAGTATGGGGACTCTGCGCGTTGTCGCTTGCTGTGCATTGTTGGCGCGGTCGGCCAGATGCGCGGTCTGGGAGCGTCCTCGCCAAGGTGCTGTACCTGTGCGCGGGGCCGCTCATGTGAAATACGGGCGTGCTTTCGCCCAATCTGGCATTCTCTGCGCGGTTCGCTCGGATGGGCGAACTGGGCTCTGTTCTGCCCGAACGGGCATTCTGTGCGCGTCTCCGTCCGAGTGCGCGCCTGAATGGTTATTCCAAGCGCGTTTTCGTCCGAGTGGCCATTCTGCGCGCGGTTTCGCCTAAATCGGGTGTTGCGCGCGGGCTTGCCATGGCTCTGTGCGTTCTACGCGGCGTTTGCTCGAATGAGCAATGTGGTGGCGCACGTCGCCCGAAAGCGCAACTGCGCGCGCTTCGCCTGGATTGGCACCGGCGCGCGGATCTCGCCCATGTGGGCATCCTGGCCGCCAGCTCGCACGAATGTGCGCTCTCGGCGTTGCCGCGAAGGGAAGCGCATTCTTTGCGCGGGTTCGCCCAAATGGGCATCCTGAGCGCGGATTCGCTCGGATTGCACATTGTTGCCGCGGGTTCGCCCGAATGGGCAGCCCAAAGCGCATTCTTTGCGCGGGTTCGCCCAAATGGGCATTCCGAGCGCCGATTCGCTCGAATTGGACATCGTGGGCGCAGATTCGCCCGAATGGGCGTTCTCGGTGCAAATCCGCCTGGATGGAGGATTGTCTATAGCGTGGGATGCGCGAAAGCCCCCTCGCCAGCCGCTCGGCCCATCGCCAAAACTGGCGCTCTTCATCATCGCCGTTGCGCTCGTCGTCCCTGGGAGTCGCGACGGCGTCGGCAAGGCATAGCAGGAATCCTCCTCCGTCAACGTATTGGCTCAGGTCCAAGAATCTCTGTCTTTGCCGCTTCGCTCAGCACCCTGCCGCCAACTGTCCTTCGGCTTCTCGGCTATGTCCTTTCAGCAGTCTGAAGTGTCTGCGTTCGTCCAGGCTCTCCCCCAGCACGCCTTCAACGGAGCCAGCAAGGCGGCAGCGGAGGAATGGTGTTCCCTCCTGGTCGGCGTCGATCCGGCACCCAAGGCGCGCCACGACTTGTTTTGGTACTTGTCCGTGGGCCGCCTCCTCGCGGAGACTATGGGAACCACATCCCCGCTGGATCTCGCAGAGCCGGTCATGCGTGATATGATCATGACGGCCATCAAGCCTGGCGAAAAGCCGTATAGCGGCACCGATGGGGAGAGCAGTGATTTCCGGGGGTGGGCAGTGGCGCCAGCCCAGGTCGCCTTCGCGCTCCGCGTGCAGGAGAAATGTGGCAAGATGACGCCGCTTGCGCCGACCCCAGAGGCTACCCTCGCGTCCACGATGAGGGACTACCTTGAAGCACAAGCGGCCTCGCAGAAACGTTCAGCGAAGGCCTTGTCCTTCAAATTGGCGGACCGGGTCGCCGAGCTCGGCTTGCAGGGCTTTCCAGAAGACGGGCTCCCTTCGGAGGAGAACTTGGCTGTCTTCGAGTCCGCTGGCCGGGTGGCCAGAGAGAAAGGGCGTCTCTACGTCGGGAGCGCCGAGGGGGAGGACTTGCAAAAGCACTTCCGGCCCCCTTGGTCCAAGCTTCCCCGGGTCGACGTACCAGTGGGAGACGGCAGCGCCCCGGAGCGGCACCGCCAGATGGCGGAGTTCAAGAAGGCCAAGGGGGCGAGCGAGCTGGACTACCCCTCGTACGCTTGCTTCCAGTCGCACCTCCTCGATTGGGGCATGAAGCTCGTGCTGATGAAGGTCGTCGCACCCGTGGACGTCCTGGGCTACACCCTGTTGCTCAGCAAGCTCTCAGAGGAGGGCGGCGGCGTGCGGACGTCGTACCAATACGACATACTCGCTCGGAGGTCATGGCGAAAGCTTTGGAGAAGGGCGACGACCAGTGGAAGCGGTTCATGCGCAAGCTTGACACCGACTTGGTCCGCGACGCCAAAGACAAGGTCAAGGATCGGGCTTCCGAGGCGGCCAAGGCGAGCATCGGCAGGGGCGGCAGCGGCAAGGCCAGCGGCGGCAAGGGGAAGCTGGACGGCTCTTCGAAGGGCTCTTCCGGGGCAGCTGTGCCGGGCCCGCGGTCGCTGTCCCCAGTGGCGCCGCCGCGCTCGCGCAGCCCGTGGCCCCGCAAGCAGGGCGGCTGGGGCCGGCAGGACGGCTGGCAACAGCGCGGCGGCTGGACACAGTCCAAAAAGAAGTGAGCGGAGCAGCGCGGCAGCAGCAGCCCTTGCGGGTCTAGTTCGGAGGTCTCCCGCTTTGATGGGGAATCCGAGCCCTCTCACGCTCTCGGCGGCCAGCCTTGCCAGGCGGCGCCAGGTTTAAATGGGGAAAACCATGTTGAATACCCCGACTGTGCTGGGCTGTCCCGGCTGCGGGGTCTTGTAGATAGTTTCTTGCTCAGTGCAGGCGTGGGCGATTTAAGCCCTTTGGAGCACCTAGAGTGGGCGCTTGCTTTGCCTCCGTGCGAGGATGCACCCACGCCGCCGTCTGACGCGGCGAAGTGGCTCGAGAGAGAGCTGGCGCTGGACGGCGCTTCTCTGGCGCAGGCACGTTTTGACAGCTTGCAGTATTGGCGCGATCGTAAGCGAGTGCTGGACCCGCTCTGGGCGCGCGAACTGGCATCCTTGCCAGAGCACGTCCAAAGTGTTCTTGGTCCTAAGAAGAATCTGCTTGTGCTCGAAGAAATGCTGCAAGCCATAGGTTGGCCTGACCAGCGATTGGTGGTCGATTTAAAGCAAGGGTTCCCGCTGATCGGCGCACTTCCGCGAAGCGGGGTGCTGCCCAGCATTCCTTTTAAAAAGTGCTCGGAGAGCGCAGCTAGTTTAAGAGCGCAAGCTCAAGCGTTTAACCAAGCCACCCTTTACCGTGTCCAGCGTCCAGTCGAGCTGGACTCCGCGGTCAGCCAGATTTTCGAAGCGAAATGCGAACGGGAAATTGCCGAAGGGCATGCCCGTTGGCGTTCTCTCCAGGACAGCTGCGTCCTGAGCGCCCGGTTCCCTGCGGACGAAGGTTGGAAAGAGCGTGCGGGGACCTGGTCGCGCAGCGCGCGTTGTATAGACGATTTTTTTGCTTCCAAAGTTAACGAGGCTGTCTCTCCTGGCGAGACGGTGCAGCACGGCACTCTCGATAAGTTTTTGGCTGTGGTGTGCCAGGTCATGCTGGCCAGCGTCGGCGGAGCCGCGCTGCGCAAGGAGGATTTTGCCAATGCGTTTAAAACGCTGCCACTCGCAAGCTCGCACTTGCAATTTGCAGTTGTCACTTGGGCTTCTGCCGCAGCTCGTGGGCAATGCCTGCAGCTTTTCGCCTGCCCGTTTGGGGCCACGGCGTCAGTTTACAGCTGGGAGCGCTTTGGCGCTGCCATTCGTGTTATCCTGGCGGAACTCTTCTGGGTAATTTTTCTCCGCTACGTAGATGATTTGTTCGGGGCGGACCGTGCCTTGGCAGGTGCCCCGTACCTAGCGACGCCTGCTGGCGCAACGGATGTCGCGCGGGCAGTTCTGACTGATCTGCTCGGCTGGGAATTGGACAGCGGAAAAAAGGGTGTCGGAGGCATCCTCTGCGCATGTCCTCGGTGTCAACGTGGAGCTCGACCAAGTGGCCAAGGAGCTCCATTTGACAATCCCTGCGGCAAAAGTCGAGCAGTGGTCAAGGCAAATTCGGCATTTTCTTTCCCTGGGGGCCATTTTGCCGAGTGAGGCGAGAAAACTCGCAGGTAAGCTCAGCTGGGGTGCAGCGGCCGCTTACGGTCGAGCAGCACGGGTGCATTTGGCCCCTCTGTTCCGCCATGCGTCGGGGCGGAATTCAAAAATGCCAGGGCGCGTCGAGCGTGCTCTGTGCTGGTGGCTTCGCTTTCTCAGCTGCGTGCCCCTGCGAGTGGTGCGTTGCGCGCGGCCGTCTGCCCGGACCCGCTGCGTCGTCTACTCGGACGCAACGGGGCATGGAGACGTGGCGTGGGCCATTTGTCTGCCGGGGCGACGTTTTTGGGCTGCTTCCGTAGTTCCCGGTGCTGTGCGGCGCTGGGCGTCGCACAGGAAGACCCAGGTAGCCACGTGGGAGCTGCTCGCCGCGATATGCGCGTTACAGTGGCTCCTGGGTTTAGGCCTCGGCGATCTTGAGGTGCTTCTGTTCGTTGACAACAAGACGGCCCTGGGCGCCCTCATTCGAGGGTCGTCCAGGCAAGCAGACTGGAATGCACTTATCGGCGATCTGTGGCTCCGCGTCGCCAGCTCGGCAACACTTCTCTCTTGCTTTTACGTCCCCAGTCATTTGAATCTCGCAGATGCGCCGACTAGGCCGCGAGAGACGGCTGCAGCGCTGGAGGCGATGCAGGCTCGGGGCTTTTCCCGTGTGCCGTGGAGCACACCGCCAGACGCACCGTGGCCACAGTGAACCAGAGAAGCTGGCATAGCAGGGAGCAAGGAAAAGAGCGCAGGAAAATGCTGTCTGCATCGATCGTCGCAGTCATTCTCTGCTCTCCCATCGTTTGGAGGAACGTGCCAGCGTCATGCGCCTCGATGCGCGTTCTGGGTGCCTGTGCGAATCTTGGCAAGATCAGCGAAATCGCGCTCGGATGAGCAATCTGGGCACAGCAGCGCCTTTTGTGACATGTGCGCCCCAGAAGCCCGGGTCCGTAGCCGCTTTGGCCCAGATGCTCGATCTGATCGCAGAGAGCCGCCGGGCGCGGAAAGCGGCATCCGCTCAGGCGGATGCGGGCGCGCGTGGGCAGCCAGCTCAGCCAGAAGCCGCTGACTGGCCGCGTCTGCCGCAGACGGTGGCGGGTTTGATCCGCCAATCGGCGAGCGTGCACTCCCCTGGCCCCTCACTGGACGACCTGTGCGGCGAGCTCTCCTCGGCGCCGCCGATCCTTTGGATTTCGCTGGTTTGGAGACTGGGACGGCCCAGGTGGTCTGGGCGCCATTTGCACGCTGCTCGGTTCCCTTCGTGACTAGATTTCTTCAATTGTGCGGAAATGCTACGAGCATCGCTGCGCATCAGGCCCGATTGCCAGAACAGTCCGGCCCAGTGCGTGCTGGTTTCGCGGGCTCGGGCCTGGGCGAGCCAACGAGTTCGCAGGCGACGTCAGCGGGTGCAGCCAGCTCGGGCGAGGGGTCCAACGACAGGGGCATGACTGCACTGGCGATGGTGGCGAGGGCCAGGCGGGAGCAGACAGCCTTGCCGCCAAACGTGCTGGCGAGTGCGTTGCGTGACATGTCCCGGCTGCCTGACCATCCCTTTGGAGAGCTGGAGGTCGGCCCGAGGGCCATGGCCAAACGCGCGCGGACAGAGGGCATTGGAGCAGACAGTTTCGAATGCCACGCGACCTGGACGGAGTTTGCAGGCTGGAAGCGCAGCGCGGGGCAGTGCGCCAGCGCCGTGCAGCTGTGGGGCGAGGCTGCGGCTCTCGCCAGCGTGCCCCCGTGGCCGCCCTCGCACGCAGCGGTGAACGCCTTCTGCGCGCTCTTCCGCAGCAGCGCCTCGCTGGGGCGTTATTTTTCACACGTCCGCTCCGTGCTAGCGCTCTTGCGCGTTCCGGCGGGCGAGCTGGCGGACACAGCGCGCCTGGTGCGAGGAGCAGAGAAAGCAGCAGTCGGTCAGCTCCGTCCTCGGGTTTGGGCGTCGACGGCGCAGACGAGGGCCCTGGTCAAGTGGGCAGTGATTGCAGGGCGTCAAGATCTAGCCCATTCGTGGACAGTGGCGCGGCATTTCTGTTTGCGCTATTCGGAGACATTGGCCTTGGGAACGGCCGCTGCCCCGTTTCGGTTTGCGCGGAGCGGTTCCGAATGCATTCTTACATTCATGCGAAGGAAATGCTACAAAACGCCAGTGGAGGTCACGAGAAGGTGCTTGTGCGCAGACGGTGCACACCCGCTCTGCGGCGTCTGCGCGCTCGCTGAAGCAGCCAAGGCAGACGCGGAGCCATTCTCGCACATCAGTTACGCAGAGGCGCTGGGTTTTCTTGAGGCTGGCGCCGCGGCGCTCGCCTTCCCCCAGGCGCCGCGCTGGGGAACCCATGCATTCAGACGTGGTTTTGCGAACGATGCACTACGGGCCGGTGGGCCCTCTGCTTTATTCTGGTCGGGCGGATGGAGGGGGCTCGCCGCTTTCGGCTACGCGACGGCCCAATCCAGAGGCGAGGTCGCAGCCGCCCAGTGGCTCGCCGATTTCTCCGATTCGAGCTGCGACAACGAAGGTTAGGCACGCTCGGATGCAGTGGGCGAGCTAAAAATGGGTCCGATTGTGCGTGTTGGTTGCGCCTGCGCGGCCGTCCCGCCGTCCTGGCTGCACGAGTTTGGCGAGGCCAGGTGGCCCACCCTGGATGCATTGGGCTCCTGGTGGATTTCCAGTCTGGGCCAGCCTGGCGGCGCCAAATGGTTCCACTCGCCCATAGACGGCGCGGGAACCCCGCCCACACAACCGGCACGCGGCCGGGGCAACGAGATTTTCATAGCCCGCAAACCGCGTAGCGGTTTGCGGGGCAGGAAAATCGCGGGGCAGGCCTTCCTGGGGCCTCTTGGCTTCTCCGCTTCCTGGCACCACAGAGGAATTCTCACGGCTTGGGCGCTGCTGGACGGCAGGCGGTTATCCTTTCCTCGTCCTTGGCTGGGGCATTCTCACGGCCTGGGTGCTGCTGGGCGGCAGGTGGTCCTCTCCTCCTCGTCCTCGCTGCTCGGATGGCTGGGGGTTGGTTGTTGGTTGGCGGCCTCTCGGCCATGCTCCTGGGTGCTTGGCGTAGCGCCCTTTGGCCTTGGCCTCACCGACCAAATCCATGTTCAGTTTCAAAAGGAAGTGCAAGACGTCTCCCTCCTCGTGCTCTAGTTTCTGCGCCATGGCTTTCCTGACAAGCAGGTCGTAGTGGTAGGCCGTGAACGCGCCACCATGCTCCTCGGCGACCCTGGTAAGCAGGAACGCGTAGGAGAGGAGGTGCGTCTGGGTGCACGTTTTCGTGAGGACAAGTTTCAGCCCCCATGTGAGGACATGCCCCAAAAACGTGGCGAAACCAGGGAACTGCACCTTGTCGTCGTAGGAGCGGGCTTTCTTCATATCCAGCGTTTCTTTGAGCCTCTCCTCCAAAGAACCGTGGCCAGTGACAGCGTCGATCTTGGGCGAACGGCTCCAGTACGGGCGGTGCGCAACCTGGTAGTCGTCTCCATCGAAGCTCCCGACGTACAGCCTACCGCGGTCTGCAGCCGATTTACCGGACGCTTCCCACTTGGCAAGTAATTCTTCGCTCGGGGGTCCCTCCACCGGGAAAGTAGCCAAACCGACCTCAACCTTGCGGTCCGCGAGGTTAAAACTGAGGCCCTTCTTCACGTTGGTTTTGGCCTGCTCAGCCTGGGCCTTTACGAACTCACGGACGGCGTCCTTGAAACCATCATCAGAGTCGTTGGTCCCAGCAATCCCGCTCGTCCGCCCTGCCTGGCCGCTCTGCGTGGCGCGCGCCTCCTGGACGCGCAAAGCACAGACGACCATGGCAGGGGTCAGCTTGAAGCTCTTCCAACTCTCGGGGTTGCCCTGGGCTGAGAAAGGAGTATCGCCAACCCTGAAGCTTTGCTTGATTACGTCGCGGACGTACGCATCAGCGAATTCCTCGGGCTGGGTGCTGCACACCGTCTCCGCCAGAAAGCGGCCGACGCCCGTGTAGAAGCGGATGTCGCGCTTGCTGCGCGGATCTTTCTCGGCCGCCAGCGCAGTCTCCATCCACTGCAGACGGCCACTCTCGTCGGCGCCGTTGAATGCTGAAGAGGGCAAGCCCTCGAAGTCAGCGGGCAGCTCCTCGGCCGTGAAAGTGGCAGCCATGGCTAGCTGTCGGATCGTTTCCTCGTTGCCTGTTTATATGCTGCTAGCGGTGGGGCGCTGTAGCAAAGCAGAGGAGACACTGAGCCCAGAAGATTAAGGAAACGAATACCTTACCAAACTGGCTGCGCTCTGGCCTGAGCTCCATCCTGAACGCACAGAGCAACCCGGGCAGATGGTGGTGACATGGCGGATGAAGAGCGCCAAATTTTGGCGATGTGCCTGGCGAGAGGGCTTTCGCACATCCCCCGCTAGATTAATCCAGCCTGCCGCTGGACATCCTCTCAAAATAGCGATTCTGCGCTTTGCGCATAAATTGCGCACATGGGCGCGCCACCGGCGTCAGAGACGCAAGTTGCACTGTCGCACATTTTACCGCGTTTTACAATGCCAAGCGCGCCGGCGCCGATCGAGCTGCCGATTCGCAATTCCCTGCGTTCTGGGCAGATTGCGATTTTTGGAATCGCTGGCGCAACCAGAAACGCAAATTTCTGAGCACCGCGCAATTTTCGCCCAGATTGCGCTCCTGAGCGCGCAGGCGCCGCAGGAGGTGAACATCCGGCAACTGTTCGCATTCCGCGCCCAGATTGCGATTCTGGGCGCGCGGGCGCCGCAACATCCGCAAACACACGATCGCGAACCTGCTCAGATTTCTATTCCTGGCGCGCCAGCCGTGCAGGAGAGCAAATTGGGCAATTCTCTGCATTTCGCAACGGGATTGCGACAGCAGGCGTGCCGATGCCAGCGAAGATGACCAGGGAGAATTCCTATGCGTCCCGCCTGCTCTGTGCGATCCTCAGTGCCCTAGCGCTGAGGAGACGCACATTGGCCACCTGCGTCCGAGCGCGCAGGCGTTGCAGGACATGCACATTGTGCAGTTCAGCACGTTTCGCGCCAGATTGCGATTCCAGGGCGCTGGCGCTGCCAGAAGCGCAAAATTTGGTAATCCGCGCGTTCCGCGCCCAAAACGCAAGTATGAACCCGCAGGCGCTGCCGGCGACGCGCATTTGCCTCCCTGCGCATTCCGCGCTCGGATGCCGACACTGGGCGTGCTGGGCGGCGGGGGGCAAAATTTGGGCAATCCTGCGCAAGGCTAGCAATCCCAGGCGCGCAAGCGCTGCAGGAGGTGCAAGTACGGCGATTCAGCGCACCTGCGCACAGAATGCGATACCAATCGCGCCTGCGCTGCACGTCACGCTGCTTTGAAACACTGCGCATTCCGCGGCCTGATTACGATTTTGGGCGCGGCAGCGCCGCCAGACACGCGGATTGGGCAACCTTGGACGTTCTGCACTACGGCGCGGCGGCCCGCCACCAACGGCGCGCTTTCCGCACGAAGGCGTACGCTACCCCGCTCATAGGCGTGCTTGCAACAGGCGCTTTCCGCGCACGCGCATGTGCTTTCCGCGCTGAGCCCCCGCCACCAGCGCTTTCCCGCGCGCGGACGCGCACTTTCCGTGTAGAGGCCTGATGCCAATAGTGCTTTCCGCACAAAGGCGTGCGCTTTCCGCGCAGAGGCCCGCCGCCAATTGCGCGCACTCCCGCGCGAAGGCGTGCGCTTTCCGCGCAGAGCCCTGATGCCAATTGTGCTTTCCGCACAGAAAGGCGTGAGCAGGCGTGCGCTTTCCGCGCAGAGGCCTGATGCCAAAAGTGCTTTCCGCACAGAAAGGCGCCGCAGGCGTGCGCTTTCCGCGCAGAGGCCTGATGCCAAGCCCCGCGGCAAACCCCAACCGCCACGGCACCTTGGCAGGGGCGCCCCGTTGGCACCGCCAGGCGTCTGCCTGGACGAAGCGCTGACTTGGCGCAGCGCTCGCCGCAGACGGCACCCCCGCATGCCCTTCCGGGCCCACCGACAAAACAGACAACAAACAGACGACGCCGACCAACAGACCAACGACACAACAGACACCCGCCATCCAAACGGGCGAAGCGCGTGGAACGAACTCACTCACCCCTCGGGGATCCGCTGCCCCCACCAGGGAGCGCCCGCTCCAGCGAGCCAAAGGCATGGAGGCAAGGAGGCCAAGAGGCCAGGATGCAAGGAGCCCTAGCGCTCTTCAAAATTTCACTGCCCCCCAAATCGCTTCGCGATTTAAGGGCGACTATTTTTCTTTCGGTCTCGTTGGCGCATCTGCGAGATTCAACTGGCTAGGCACGTAGAAACTCGACAGCAGCGTGCTTGTCCTGGCTACGCGGAGCCAAAGGTCACCGATCAGCTCGTTCCAGTCTGCTTGCCTGGACGAGCCGCGGACCAGCGTCCCCAACGCAGTTTTGTTGTCCACGAAAAGAAGCACATCGAGGTCCCCGAGGCCTTGCCCCAGAAGCCACTGCAGCGCGCAGATTGCTGCAAGCAACTCCCACGTAGCAATTTGTGTTTTTTCTGAAGCACGCCCAGCGCCACACAGCTTTAGGCACCTGGGAAGCCGCCCAAAACCGCGCATTAGGCAGACAGGTGGCCCACGCCACGTTGCCATGCCCTGTTGCGTCGGAATAGACGATGCACCGAGTTCTAGCGAGTGGACTGGCGCAGGGAACGATTCGCTGGGGCACGCGCTCCAGAAAGCAGAGCCACCAGCGCAGCGCGCGCTCCACGCGGCCAGACAAAGACGAACTGCAGCGCGACGCGTGGTAAAAGAGCGGGGCCAAATGCACCCGTCCAGCACGGCCGAACACTGCAGACGAGCCCCAGCTGAGTTTCCCAGCGAGCTTTTTCGCTGCGTTTGGCTGCAGGCGCTGCTGAGCCAACACGTCTCGAATTTCATACGTCCACTCAGCGATCTTCGCCGGAGGGATGGCCACAATAACGCATCTGGCGTCCTTGTCAATTGCGCAGTCGACGCCAAGAACTGGCGCAGCGTCCGCCTGCGCAACTCTTTTCTCGCTGTCCAACTCCCAGCCGAGCAGATCGGTGACAACGGCACGCGCGACGTCAGATGCGCCAGCTGGCGTTGCCAGGTGCGGCGCTCCGTGCAGCACGCGATCTGCGCCGAACAAATCGTCGACAAAACGCAAGAAAACGACGAAAAACAGCTCAGCCAAAATGGCGCGAACGGCTGCGCCGAACCGCTCCCAGCTGTACACTGACGCCGTTGCCCCAAATGGGCATGCAAGGAGCTGGAGAGCCTGGCCGCGACTGGCGGCAGATCCCCACGTCACAACTGCAAACTGCAAATGAGAGCTGGCGAGGGGCAGCGTCTTAAACGCGTTTACAAAATCCTCCTTGCGCAACGCGGCTCCACCAGCGTTGGCCAGCATGACCTTGCAGAGAACAGCCAAAAACCTGTCCAGCGTGTCGTGCTGGGCAACCTCGCATGGCGATGCTGCCAAATTCACCTTGGACGCTGTGAAGTCATCTATGCAACGCACTTTGCGCTCCCATTTGCCGAATTTCATTCTCCAGCCTTATCTCGCTGGCCTGCTCGCGCAGACTAGACGCAGATTCCAAGCAATCTCCAAAAGAGCTGCTTGGCAAAACCCCGCTCCGCGGGAGTGCGCCTATCAAAGGAAAACCTCGCTTGAGATCATCCACGAGAGCCTGGTCGGGCCATTCCAGCGCCTGGAGCATTTCGGAAAGCACAAGCAGATTTCAGTTCTCTATCGAGCCACTTCTGGAGCTGGAAAGGCAAAACTGGCGAGTCTTCGCCAGGAGGAAGGGCTAATGCCCACTCTAGATGCTGCAGGGGATTTGAAGTCTCCACGCCCGGAGCAGAGAGGAAATTATGCACAAGCTCCCGGATCCGGGACAGGCCAGGAAAGGCCGGGAATTCAAGCTTAAATCCAGGCTCGACCCGCCGCTGGGGGGAGCGGGGCGCGCTGGCAGCGCCGCTTAAACTGCGGCAAGCATGCGATGCTACATCGCTCGATTCCGCATCAAAACGGCGGGAATCGTCGCTGGAGCCTGAGCTGCAGCTCCGGCTCTGGCTTCACTTCTTCTTCGACCAGGCGTTCTGGTGCCAGCTGTCCTGCTTCCAGCTCGAGCTCTGCTTCCAGCCACTGTCCCGGGGGCTGCGCGAGCGCGGCGGCGCCTTTGGTGAAAGAGACCTCGGGGCCTTGCCGCCGCCCTTGCCGCCGCTGCTGCCCTTGGCCGCACCAGAACCCCTCGCAGAAGCTGCTTTCGCTGCTTCGGCCGCCCTGCTCGTGACCTTGTCTTTGGCCTCGCGGAGCCTGTCCATGTCGACTTTGGAGAATAAGCGCTTCCACCCAGCATCGCCCTTCTCCAAAGCTTTGGCCATGGCGGTCCGGTTGAGCAGGTCGCACTGGTACGCCGTCCGGACGCCCCCATTCTCCTCGGCCATTTTGCTCAGGAGGCCCGTGTAACCCAGGATGTCCACGGGCGTCGCAACCTTCATGAGGATCAGTTTAGTACCCCAATCCATCAGGTGCGACTGGAAGGACGCGTACCCAGGATACTCCAGCTCCCCGCTGGCCTTGGCGCGCTTGAAATCCACCATCTGGCGGTGCCGCTCAGCAACGCTGCCTTCGCCAGCGGGGACATCAATGCGCGGCATCTTCGACCAAGCGGGGCGGAAATGCTTCTGGAGATCCTCGCCATCAGCGCTCCCCACGCATGGGCGGCCCTTATCTTTGGCCACGCGGCCCCTTTCCTCGAAGGTAGCCAGGCCTTCCTCAGATGGCAGGAGGTCCTCAGGGAAATTCTCCATGCTCAGCTTTGCGACGCGGTCCGACAACTTGAACGAAAGAGCCTTCACTGAGCGCTTGTGCGTTGCAGCCTGGGCTTCGAGATACTCAGCCATTGTCTTGGCCAGGGTGTTTTCAGCAGTCGGAGGTGGCGGCACGGCCCCAATGGGCGCGCTTGCACCGCACGGCCTGGGAACGACGGTGGGCGCCGGCCCCCGTGCAGCCTTCACTGCGACGCCGCCGCCACTTGCCAGCCCAGGAACAGCGGAGCGCGGCCCAAGGCACGCCAATCAACCAACCAACCAACCAACGGCAGGAGAAGGAGGAGGAACCGCCTGCTGCTACGCAGCGCGCGGCCGTGAGAACCACCTGCTGCAATGCAGCGCACGGCCGCGAGCATCTGCCTGCTGCGCTGCGCGAAAAGCTGTGAGATACCACTCCGCTGCACCTCAGCGGTGCCTAGGCTGTGAGAAGGAAGGAAGCCCAGAGGCACAGAAGCCAAGAAGCCTACAAAGGCCTCCCTGAAGATTTTCCTGCCCCCCAAACCGCTACGCGATTTTTGGGCTATGAAAAATCTCATGGCGACGACGCCCCCCTGCATTAGCGTGGGATGAGCGGAAGCCCCCTCGCGTGCTGCAACTTGGCCAAAACAGGCCTCGGTACGTTGAAAATAACTCCCTACTCACTCTGGCCTGGCGGAGGGGGAGGGGCAGGGAGACCCATGTAGTTCCCCTGGCCGCTGAGCGGTCAAAGGGGTTCGACTGGGATCGGCGTGGCACTGCTGTAGCTTGCATGGTTTCGCCCCAAGGTGACCCGAGTGGCCCCCCTGGCCGCGATGGAAGTCAAAGGGGGGTCGCGGGGATGTGCGGCAGCGAGAGCTGTGCGAATTTGCATCCAGGGAAGGCGGAGCGGAGCGGAGGACTCTCTCCCCTTCCTTCCTTCGTGCTGGGGCTCAAGCGGCCGACGTGCCGTTGCGACAGCTGGGCGCGATCGGAAAACTGGCTGCTGGACGCAGGTGGGGGGTGCTCAGGAGGCTGAAACGGTGGTGCGCCCATGTCCCACAGAAAAAATAGCCGTGTCAGTCGCGTTGCAATGGCTCCAGGCGTTCATGCATTGGCTCTTCCGGAGTCGTCTGGGCTCAGAGTGATTGGTTGCTCTTTGCGTCCACGCTCTCACCCACCACCTGCTGTAGCATTCGGGGACACCGCATCATTGCCTCTTGAGTCAGGAAAGGTGCAGTCTTTGATCGCTAAGGTTCCAGAAGGCAAGTGGCTGAAGTTGTCGAGCAGTGCCATCGAAGAGTGGCTCCACTTCGTTGCGGACGCAAACGAGCCAATCAGCCACGACGAGGTGTTTTATGCCAGCGTCGCCCGAGTGATGTCCGAACAGATGGGCTCAGCAGCGCCGTCGGACTTCGCGGACCCACAGATGCGCACTTTCATCATCGAAGGTATCCGCGCAAACACCACGCCGTTCCAAGACGACCCTGAGGGATCGGAGTGGAAAGATGTGCGGCTCACCCCTGCTCTTAAAGTGCAAGCTCGGGCAGCAGGGTCTCAGAGCAACGGCCCGGCTGGCAGCGTTGAGCGTGGCACCGGGACCTCGCCAGAGCACCTGGCGAAGGCGATCGAGGCGCTTGCAAAGGCAACGCAAGAGCGAGACCAGCCCAAGAAGGAATACTTGTCTTTCAACTTGAAACAGCGCCTGGACGAGCTCGGTCTCGGGAATCTCCCAAAAGATATGATGCCCTCGGGGGAGGCTATGATTCGGTTGGAGAAAGCCAGCAAGGTCGCACGGGACCAGGGCCGCCTTTATATTGGGTCGGCAGAGGGAGAGGACCTCCAAGTCTCCTTTCGCCCGCCGTGGTCGCGGACACCCAAGATCGACGTGACCGTCGGCGACGGCAGCTTCGAGGAGAAGCTGCGCAGCGCGGTAGAGGCGAAGAAAACGAGGAGCTTGGAGGACAGGACCACTTTTGTGGGATTCGCTACGTTCTATGGACATATCCTGGACTGGGGCGTGAAGATGGTCCTCACGAAGGCCATCACCTCCACGCAGTTGCTCGCGTACCAGATCGTACTCACCCGGGTGGCAGAAGAATGCGGCGGCTTCAGGGTGTGCACACACTACGATCTCTTGCTCAGACAGAAGCTCGCCCGGGAGCTTGAAAGGGACGAGCGGTCGCAGATAGAGACGCTCCTGTGCACTCTGGACCGCGACGTGCTGGCGGACGCGAAGAACAGCGCTGAAAAGCGCGTGAAAGAGACCGCGAAGGCGGCCACGAAGACGGGCCAGGCCTCTGGCTCCCAGCCGTCGCGGCCGGCACCCGCTTCCAGCAAGGGAGGCGGCAAGGGGCCCTCCAAGGGAGGCAAGCTGCCCGCCCAGCACCCCAAGGGGCGCCAGGTCCACTCTCCTGTGCGTTCGCGCAGCCCCAAGGGGAATGGTGACTGGTATGCCAAGAAGTGGGACAACACCAAGAAGGGCGACAAGAAGTGGTGAGCTGGTTCGCAAAGCGCCAGCGATGCGTCTGGGGATCATCCAGCGGCTCCTCCCCTCGCGCAAGAGACTTGCGAAGATAGTCTCGACGGGTCCGTCGGTTTTGCCGCGGATCTGCATGAATTACAAGCTGAAGTGAACAGCTTGTTGCAAGATGTACATAGACTTGCTAACATGTCGCCTGTAAGCCATTTCAAGTGGGCGTTTGCCCTGCCTCCTTGCTTAGGCGTCTTCCGTGTACCTGCCAGCGCGCACAGCTCAGTTCTTCATGAAAGTGGGGACAGGAGCTCTTTACACAGCTTCCGGGCGTCTGCCTTAGCTTTCTGGCGCGAACGCAAGCGAGTGACAGATTTTGAATGGCAGCGGGTGTTCAGAACACTCCCAGCACACGTGCAAGCCGTTCTAGGTCCGGACAAAAACTTGCTTTTGCTGGCAGAGATGCTGGAGGCATCGAATAGCCCAGACGCTCAATTAGTTAAAAATTTAAGGCGTGGTTTCAAGCTCGTTGGGGAGATCCCCCCGAGCGGCGCGCTCCCCGCATGCTCACCTGTTCCGCCCTTGTCGTTAGAGGAACTCTGGCGACGCGCCCCTGCGAACAACGCGGCGCTGATTTTGAGAGCGGCTTCTTCTACCCTGTCGGATGAAGAAGCGGCGGCAGCACTGCGGGCGCAGACGGCAGCCGAGGCGGTGGCAGGTAAAGCTAGATGGACGCCGTTGTCGGCGACGCTCAGCGAGGCGGTGTGTTCTCCACGTTTCGGAGTGGACGAGGGGTGGAAGTTTAAAGGTTCATCTTTTGTGCGCGCTGTCCGCGCCATTGATGATTTTCACGCTTCCAAGGTGAACGAAGCCACGCAAGTCGAGGAGCGGGTGCGTCACGAGCACCTCGACGCACTAGTAGCAGTTGGCCAAGGCATCTGGGAAGCAAGTGCGCAAGGATGACGTTGTAGGCGCATGCAAGACTTTGCCGATTTGCGCGGATGACCTGCCTTGCGCTGTGGCCGTTACAGAGGACACGGCGCGAACAGGCTTCGCGTTGCAGCTCTTTTCTTGCCCGTTTGGGGCTGTTGCAAGCGTGCATGCATGGCACCGCGTCGGTGCTGCGCTCCAACACGTGCTTGTAGAGCTGTTCCGCATTTTATACCCGCGTTTTGTCGATGACTTCTTCGGCGTCGACCGCGCGACGCCGGGAGATACTGCCCTCACAAGAAATGTCTTGCGCGCGAAGTCGTGCAAGAATTGTTGGGTTGGCAGCTGGACGACGCGAAAGCTGTCACCGACGCTTCTGTAGCCGTAATTCTCGGCATCCAGGTTGCCCTGGATGATGCCCGAGAGCTTTTCGTCTTTAGCATTCCCGAGGCAAAGCGCGTGAAGTGGATTGCTGAGATCGATAAGATTCTCGAATTGGGCATGCTGTCGCCGGCGCTGGCCCGGAAGCTAGCAGGGAAACTGAGTTGGGGAGCAACGATGGTGTTTGGCAGGAGCGCAAGAGTGTATCTTGCAGCTCTGTTCTTCCACTCGGCCCGTCGTCTCTCCAAACTCTCTCTGCGCCTGCGCCGGGCTTTCCACTGGTGGCTTCGCTTTTTGCAATCCAACCCTCGCCGCGAGATACCCTACCTGCCAGCTGCGCGGCCCCGGTTGGTCATTTATACCGACGCAGCGGGGTGCGGAGCACTCGCGTGGGTTCTCGCGCAGGGCAACCAAAAGCAGTTCGCCCGAGCGTGGGTCCCGCGATGGCTTCGCGACAGAGTGAAGCCGCGCCGGCAGCAAATCGGCACGTGGGAGCTCATTGCTGCGGTGTGTGGCCTTTGGCACGCGTACACCTTTCTGGGGCCAGGGTTGGAGATTTTGTTATTCGTGGATCCCAACCCAGCGCTCGGAGCATTGCTCAAAGGGACGTCCAGGCAGATCGATTGGAATGCTTTAGTGACGTCCATTTGGTTCGCGGCAGCAGACAGGGGCGACGTCTTGTGCCCCTTCCGTGTGCCGTCTGCTCAGAACCTTGCAGCTGCCCCGTCCAGAGCCCATGAAGAGCCAGACAAACTGCGCACTCTGCTCGAGCAAGGGTTCGAGGAGGTGCACTGGCGCTGGCCGGAAGCAAGCGTTTGGGACGAGCTCTGGTGAGGACAGACGCGAGCGCAGGAGGGAAAAAGTTGCACGCAACAGTTGACCGTCGTGGCCTTCTCTTCTGGCTTCGCGGCCACCTGCCTGTCGCAGCCTGCCCCCTCATTCCGTAGCCGGTTGGGCACAAGCGTTTCTTGATGGCCTTCCAGTTTATCGATGCTTCCCGGCGGCGCCATCTGGAGGCCGCCCGGGGCGCGCAGGTGCCGCAGCAGACTCCTGTGCCAACAGAGCTGAAGGCATGGTTCCAGAGTGTGCTGGCCCGGACGCCAGCTTCGTGCCATCCGGCATCGCCTGACGCAGTCTTGCAGGCGCTGGCCGATTCTGGCGCTGTTCATGGCGGCGACTTCCAAGGCCTTTCAGCAGCAGAGTTGCGAGAAGTGTGGCCACCTCTCAGAACGCTGTCCGATGACTTCCTGCGTTCCGTGTCGTGGCAGACGGGCGCGCGCGGCTCAAGCGCCGTCGTGCCTAAGTTGAAAAGACACAAGCCAGAACGTTTCTG